CAGACAATGTAATTCAATCGTGTGTTCTTGTGCAGATTTGTGGAAATGGCCCAGCTCGGCTCTGTCGTGGCAGTTGCTGCTGCCATTCTTGCTGCCATGATCTTCTCGTCTGTACACAAGGTGGAAGAGGGTCACATCGCTGTTTACTATAGGTGAGACTCTGTCACCATCTCGGACACCTTGCTGTGCACACTCAGACCTGATGTCACAGGGAGAATCGAAAGCTTGGATGGCAGCTGGAGAGCTGCAGAGGGAGTTGGGAAGAGGCACAGTCAGTGTTCAGTGGAAATACCCAAAGTGGGGCAGAAATGAGCACCTCTCAGACTGTACCACTGGGCCTGAAACAGTTAACACGGACCTTTTATAAATATTTGAGAGGTCACATATGATACTGGAACTACACACTGCAAACAGAGCAGCAGTCAGACAATTCGCCAAGAGTAAAATCATCTTTCCCTTTCCTCACTTTCTCCAAATGAAAGCTGCTGCTATGGGAATGCATATGGATCCATTTTCTGACTCATTTGTCACCCGTCCTGAGTTATCCATTGTTGTGTCCATCCTTTTGTGTGATATGTGGGGACATTCTCCTTCTGCCTGACTCAGATCCTGACGCCCCCCCCCCCACCACCGGCCGATGTTTCCTACATGTTGACTTGGCAGTGTGTGCCTCTCCCATTTCCCTTCTTTCACTTCTCTGTCTTCATTCCTAGATATCATTTAGCAATGAGCAGCTCTCATGAACCCACTGCCAGCGTGCTCCGTGTGAAGACAATTCTCTTATACCACTTTCACCCTGTCTGTTAGATCTCCTCTGACTTTGTCAGGTTCCTTCTCCCTCAGCTGAGGATTCTTACAAAAGATGGTCAACAGTTTGCTTCAGTGTGTTCATTGCATTTCCTGCTGCTACCCCTCCTTTGTCCCTTTTCACTGGCCAGGGTCCCAAACACTTCTTCCAGGTGAAACAGTGATATCCCTGGATGGTCACTGCTCACAATGTTCTGCCTGATCTCCTAAACACTGAAGAGGCCAAACTCGGTATGCGGAGGGTGGTGGTGGTGGTGGTGGAGGTGGTGGAGGGGGGGGTGGTTGGTTCCTTTGCAGAACACCTCCACTCATTCTCCAGCAGGAACCAGAGCTTTGAGTTGCTGGTTGTTTTAATGCTGCCTCCTGCGCCCACTCTGGTTTGGTGGTGATGAGTCTGCTTCTTCCATTAGCACCTCCCCTAGCTCCACATCTTGTTTCCTCACTGGTGCCGTAAACATCTCCTTTTGACTTCCCCCAGTTTATTATTTCAGTCTTTGCAGCCTTGCACTGTATTACACAACTTCTGCTTTTCCTCAGCCTCCTTTCCCTGCATGAGTACTTTATTACAATCTGCAGCATTTTGATATATCTCCACTTCTGATGAACTCTCATTGAGCTGAAACATTAACTCAGTTTCTGTCTCTCTCTCGCTGCATAGACAGTGCGAGACCTGCCGAGTATTTCCAACCACAGATGTCGTAGTCAGAGAGAGAGTGTAAAACAGGCCACCTTCCCAATCTGACTGCGCAGGCTCTGTGATATTGAGGAGGTTAATGTACGTCGGTGAATCTGCATTCAGACTGCTTTTGACTTTGGAAGTTTTTTTTTAAATGAAGAAGGTAGTGTTTGTCTGTCTTTTACCTGCTGGCATTCAGCTCTCTAATTGTCCCTTCCAATTGTTTCTTAGGGGTGGAGCATTATTAAAGGCAACGAGTGGTCCGGGATTCCATCTCATGCTGCCCTTTATCACCACTTTCAAAACTGTACAGGTGGGTCTTTTCCACATGTCACAGACGCACAATGTTCAAACTGTGCTGAGCAACGCCACATGTCTATAGTATGAATCAAAATTACCAGCTACTCACAGCGGGTCTGTGTCCATGCTTTCTTGAATCTGTTTGGCCAACATGTCCACTCTTTCCACATGTCGCTGCATTTTTGTTCTTTTCCAAGTGTTTGTTTTATTACCCTGCGGAAGTTGCTGTTGCATCTGCTTTCATTGACCTTTCAGGCAAAGCTTTGCACATTGCAGCTCACTGCATGAACAAAACTCTCTGGATCTTGCCTCTGGCTGTTTTCCCAACAAAATCTATGTTTGACCTTCCTGGTGGTGGATACAGTTGTCCTGGCTTACTCTGTAAAAGTCTTGTATTGTTTTTAACACCTCTGTTAGATCACCTTCTCTGCCTTAAGGGGAACCCCTTGTCCGTAGGACCTTTAAGATAAATCTCTGCACTCTCGCTCAAGTGGACAAAGTGGTATGGTTTGTTATTGGAATCTGCCTCTCTTAAGCTTTTGTTGAGGGATTATCTGGCTAAACTGTGCTGTGGTCATTGTACGCCTGATCTATTCAGCGGTGAACTCTCCCTCCTTTTCTGAAAGTGATTTAAATCTTAACAAACCCTTTGTCTTTCAGAATACCGTCCAGACAGATGAAGTAAAAAATGTCCCTTGTGGTACAAGGTAATTGTGTGTTTTGTCTCGGTAGCTCCTCCTTCACAACGTAGATTACTCTAAATGGAACCAAGAGAAGGAGTAGTTTCATTCCACACGTCCTGCTTCTATCTTTATCCACAAATGTGTTTGCAGCTTCTGTATAAATGCCCAACACACATCAATAAGCCCACTTTACTCACTTCAGCTTGAGCATTGTGATCTTAATGTGGTTTTTTTTTTGGTCATCTCATGAGATACTGTAAAGGCCTGTTCCCAGTGCTGCTGTTTCGGGGTAATTGTGAGGAATGTGGCAGGCCGTCTGTCTCATTCAGGCACGTGGAGGATTTCTGTTCAAGTTGCTTTTCTTGAAGGTGAAATGAACTGCAGGCTGTTTTAAAGGGTGTGTGTTTCTTCTAAACCTGGGCTCTGTCTGGTATAATGACATTCCATACAGAGTCAGCCTCAAACTGCGAGTACCCTGGGGACAGAGATCTGCCGACTCCCATGTTGCTGAAAGTCACAGTTTGGAGGTGCCATCAGCACACCAGCCGTTCGCCAATTGGTTCCGTCAAAGTTCGAGAGTTCATCAGCTGTTGTTCAGCTCCGATTGTGCGCCAAGCTATACAGGCACAACGGCTACTTTAGAAACCATCGCGTAATTAGGGCTCGGCTCACAAACGGCAAGTTGCTAAAATTGCAGTGTGATAAATCTGGATCTTTGTTCTTTCCTCCTGCCAGCGGTGGAGTCATGATATACTTTGACAGGATCGAAGTGGTGAATTTCCTCATTCCAAGTGCAGGTAAGAAACAGCGCTGCAGATTCACCAGGCCCGGTCCCATCTCAGCTGCTAAAATCGCTCCTCTCCATGTCCGTGTCATCTCGAGACTCCGCTGTTGCAGTACCCTGCTGGTCAGCCTTCCCATGTCCTCCTTCTGATGACGCAAAGCCGGAATCCTGCCCTACACCAAGTCTCACTCTCATTCCAATTGCTGACTGCCACCACACCATTTGAAACTTGAAAACTGTGTTTTCATCCTTGCTGCTCTGGGTCTCTGTTATCTCCTCCTGTCCCACCGTCCTCTCACATGACTGCCCTGCTGCAGTTCCGGTCTCCTTCACATCCCTGATTTCCATGGATCTCCTATTGGCAGCCAAGGCTTCACCATCAGGAATTCATCCCCCTCCCCCCCTCTCTCCTCCTGTGAAGGTATTCCCTTTAATCAGGCTTGTATTTGACCAAGCCTTTCACCAGCTGTCCTCAGATCTCCTTATCAGAGTCTGTGTGTCTCTCTTGCTTTGGGGTGATATTAAAGGGACTGTATGATCCGAGGCTCTTGTCACCCGTTGAGAAGTGGCTCAGCCCATCTCCTTATAGCAGCAGATCCCAGCCACGAGACACAAGCAATGACTTGTTTTTAAACTGCACAGAGAGAACAGCTCACGGTCATCAAATCATAGAATTCCTCCTGTGCAGAAAGAGGCCATTTGGCCTATCAAGTCTGCAGCAACCCACCCCCATGCCCTATCCCTGTAACCCTACTCCCATGGCCAATCCACCCTAACCTGCACAATGTTGGACTGTGGAAGGTAACGGAAGGAAACCCACCCACACAGGGACAATGTGCAGACTCCACACAGTCACCAGCAGCTGGAATTGAACCTGGGTCCTTGGCGCTGTGATGCAGCAGTGCCAAACACTAAGCCCTTGTACCTTCCACAGCCCACCTCCTGAAGAGATGGTTTATTTCTTGATCAGCCAACTCGGTAGATGAACTGCAGACTGACCCCCACATTTCAGCCATTGACCGTGCTTCCAGTGTAATTCATTAGCTGGGAAATGTCTGGGACCGTCCTGAGGACCCAAGGTACAGCACAGAACTAGGCCATTCGGCCCAACTGGCCCGTGTTAAAGTTGATGTTCCGCACAAGCATCATCCAACCGCTACTTCCTCTCAATTCACCAGCATGTGTTCTGCTCCATTTTTACTGCTGTTTATCTGACCCCTGTGTAGGTGCATCTGTGCTGTTCACCGTAACCACTGCCTGTGGTGTGTACTCCCAATCCCTGGGTCAAAAACATGTTTCTTCAGAGTTCCCAATAGGTTTATTTGTGATGGTCATATATTTATGACTTTCCCCCCGCTATAGAGTCATAGCGTCATACAGCATGGAAACACACCCTTCGGTCCAACTTGTCCCGGCTGACCATTGTTCCCAAACCAAATGAGCCCCACTTGCCTGCATTTGGCCCATATCCCTCCAAACCTTTCCTATTCATTGTAAGTTGTTGTACTTATCCAAATGTCTTTTAAATGTTGTAACTGTATCTGCATCAACCACTTCCTCAGGTAGTTCATTCCGCACGTGAACCACTCACTGTGTAAAAAAAGGGTTGCCCCTCATGTCCTTTTTAAAACTTTCTCCTCTCACCTTAAAAATATGCCCCCTAGTTTTGAGCTCCCCTATCTTGGGGAAAAGACCTTTCCTCGTCACCTTATCTATGTCCCTCATGATTTTATAAAATGTCTGTAGGGTTACCCCTCAACCTCCTACGCTCCAGTGAAAAAGATTGCAGCCTCTCCTTATAACTCAAACCCTCCATTTCCAGCAGCAATCTTCTCTGAACACTCTCCACTTTAATAATATCCCTCCTTTAGCAGGGCGATGATCTGAATTCTGTACCTAACCCTATCGGAGCTAGGGTTTACCATTTCAAAGACATTGATCAGGCCACACTTCAGTCTCCTTGTTTCTACAGAATGGAGTGCTGGCCTGGATCAATCTTTACCATTTCGCACATGCTGCCAGCTCTCGGTACCATCTTGGTGAATCTTTCTTATCTCACTCCAGTGTCCCTGTTTGATGCATTTTGCTGAGGTGTCATCAAAGTGTTGTGGTTTGGATGTTACCATTTGTTTGAAATTGTTGTCCCCAGTGTATGACATTGTGAGAAACTACACGGCAGACTACGACAAGACATTGATTTTTAACAAGATCCACCATGAGCTGAACCAGTTCTGCAGCGTTCACACTCTACAGGAAGTCTACATTGAACTGTTCGGTAAGAGGCTCCTGCTGTGGCTGAGGGACAAAGATGGTTTCGGGATCGGTGAAAGAAGCAAAGGGTGAAGTGAGGAAACAAAAACAGAAATTGCTGGGTCTGACAGCGTCGGTGAAGAGAAATCAAAGTTAACGTTTCGCCTCCGGTGATCCTTCTAGAGTTCTGAGGGAAGGTCACTGGGTCCGAAACGGGCTAACTCTGATTTCTGTCTGCAGATACTGCCAGACCTGCTAAGTGTTTCCGGCAATTTCTGTTTTTGTTTCTGATTCGGGGCATTCGCAGATCTTTCAGTTTTTATGAAGTGAGGAAAACTTTCTTCACTTGGGTTAGGGTCTGGAATACACTGCCTGAAAATGGGATAGACATTGGATAGTTACTGGATAACGATAACATGCAAAAGTATGGGGGATAGCATAGGAGACCGGCACAAGGTAATGATGCTGTGTTAACGGGACTAGTACAAGAACGATGGGCTGAGTGGCCATGTGGATGGTTCTGAGAGTGAGGGTTGGTACCAGATGCAGTGAATGCTGCTGGTAAGATTGGTTTCTTGTCTTGTCAGATCGGATAGATGAGGACCTGAAGTTGGCACTGCAGCAAGATTTAACAGCCATGGCTCCGGGTCTGATTATCCACGTGAGTTTGTCTCCACTGTTTTAATCAATGGCATTGTGCTAGTCCAATCAGAAATCAGAGGCTAGGGCTTGCGTCTGGAGCTGGAACTGAACAGACTGTGTATCTTGTGTTGTATTGGGAGCTGCAGAAAAAATCAGGGATTTGCTTTTGGCTGGCTGTAGGGCTCAAAATCCACAGTCTGTAAGTTTGTTTCTCCTCCTGTTGTGAGCGTTAGCCAGTTGCTGGTATATCTCGATATCACAGTCGGAAACTGTAACCCTCCTTACTGCTGTTTCTGGTTCCTCCGCAGGCAGTCCGGGTGACCAAACCCAACATTCCAGAAACCATCCGCAGGAACTATGAATTAATGTGAGTCTCGGGAGATCCACGAGAAGTTAGAAATTCCGTGTGAATCAATCCTTTCCTCATCCTGAAGTTGAGGCAAGGTCTCTAAATTTCATCAAAGCTTCACTTGTCCCCATCTCCGAGAGATATCCAACCAGGCGAACATTGAACCTGAACTGGAACTGACTGTCCCCTTGCACAGAGAGGGTTATACAGCCTGAATGTAGACTGTATCCCCTCCCACAGAGAGTGTTACACAGCCTGAATGTAGACTGTATCCCCTCCCACAGAGAGGGTTACGCAGCCTGAATGTAGACTGTATCCCCTCACACAGAGAGGGTTACACAGCCTGAATGTAGACTGTATCCCCTCGCATAGAGAGGGTTGCACAGTCTGAATGTAGACTGTATCCCCTTGCACAGAGAGGGTTACACAGTCTGAATGTTGACTGTTTACTTGAACAGTTGTAGTAACAGGCAATGCAGCAACCACTGATGAACAGCAAGATCCCACAAATGTATGAGAATAAGCCACTTAGCTGTTCTAGGCTGCTCCACCTTTCAATAAGATCAGTGCTGATTTCATTTTAACCTCACCTGTACATTGCTGCATGTCCCCGATAATCTTTCATTCCCTTGGGAATCAATAATCGACCTCCCTCTGCCTTCAAACCATTTGAAGATTTTGCATCCACTGTCTTTTGTGGAAGGGAATTCCAGACATACTCAACACTGTGAGAGCGAAATACTTACTCATCTTTGTGTTAAATGTGTGCCCCTCTATTTGTAAGCTCTGACCCCTCATTCTAGATTCTCCCCCAGAAGGAAACGTCCTTCTGACACCAATCTTGGCAAGTCCCCTCGGGATCTTGTGTGTTTCAATTAAATTAAATCACCTCCGTTCCTTTTAAACTCCAGAGGTTTACAGACTTAGCCTTCCAGCCTTTCCTCATGAGGTCATTCCAGGAATGACTCTAATAAACCTTCTCTGAACTGCTTACAATAGCATACTTCTGTAAGGGGGCGAGCTAAGTGACCTGTCAAGCCATTTCAGAGGGCATTGAAAAGTCAGCCGCATTGCTGTGGGTCTGGAGTCACATGGCAACAGATTTCCCTGAAGAGCATTCGTGAACCCAACGTGTTTTGTGACAATCTGACAGTGTCATGTCAATTATAAGTTATAATAGTATTTTATTTGAGCTTTACGAATGAATTGAATTTAAACCTGTCCACCTGCTGTGGTAGGATTTGGACCTGTCTCCAGGACATAACTGGGCGCCTGAATTACACATCCAGTAATATTATCACCGAACGTCGATTCCACCTCAGTTCATGTCCCCTCAGTGTTGACTCCTCCACCCGCAGCAGTTATTCTGTGTCTACTCAGTGAAATTCCTTTGTTGGTTTAAATGGGTGGATCTTTTTATTACAAGAATGGTAACTCCTGTGAAATCTGTAGGGTTTGGGTTCTGGCTGGCCTGTTGGTGAGCTCCTGATCTTAACTTCTCCTTTGTTCATCCGGCAGGGAGAGTGAGAAGACAAAATTACTGATCGCAGCACAGAAACAAAAGGTGGTAGAGAAGGAAGCCGAGACTGAACGGAAAAAAGCGCTCATCGGTCAGTGTTTGCCGGGGCAAGCAGTAAACCCCTTACAAGCTCCCGTTTCAATATAACTCCACTCTTCTTTCTGAATCCAGCCTGAACGCTGCATTGCTCAGTGTTCCTGGGCCTCAGTGGGCTGAGTGGCCTTTATCTGTGCCACATTGACCCTCACATTGCAATCCAGTTTGGATCTGTTGGGAATCTGAGACATGGAATGGTTAAGCAGCGGTGTACATTTGCTCTGAAGAGCTTTGAAAGTTCCTGAGCATGTGAAGGACCCTGACTAACCTGCTCGGTGTGGTACAAGGTTCAGAAATCAGGGAGGGAATGGGTGAAAGCAAAGGAATTTCCTGTTGACCATTGTGTTGGAGACCTGGTAGGATTTAAAGCAAAGTCCATTTAAATGGCTGGTCACAGCAAACAGTCAATACAGTCCATGCAGGGAACAAAATACAACAAACAGTCTGCAGAGTCTGTTTACAAAGATCTCTCAAACTGCTGGCCTTCTCCTGGTAAAAGGGGGATTGTACCAGCAAATTAGCATGAATTGTATTGCATTAAATCCCAGTTAGATTTGGCATGTAAAATCCAGCCTGTGGACTGGATTTATCCAATGAACTGTCTTCTACTAAATATAGAGCAGTGACAATAAGCAGCTCAAATGAGTGGGCAACTGGGGTACATTATGGTGCAGGGGTGGAACTGAGGATTGTGTTGGGCAACTGGGGTCACGCTGGGGTCGAGGGTCATGCTTGTCACGTGGGGTCGAAGGTTACACAGTGAACCAGCTTGCTGTGTGAAGGTGGGTTGAGGTTGTTGAATCCCAGGTTGGGATTCACAGAATGAAGCAAAGAGCAGGAGTTGTTTTTAAGCTCTAAAGCTCAGAGCTGTGTGCAGCTGTGCCTGCTCTCTGGAGCTGTAATCTCGCCCCTGTTTCATAGCTGCTCTTGTTACCACATGTCTGTGTCTAGTCATTCACGGCTGGAGTGCTGTGCAAGTTTCCAGCGTCTACTCGAACGGCCCCTCACTATTGGCTGGTTTTGTAATCTCATCAGTTTACTGTTCAGTTCACTACTTCCCGTTTTCTCCTGCCCCTACCTTCCCCTGCCAATACACATCTCAGCAGCTTAGGTCAGGGTAAATACTGGAACTGTGTTTCATGGTGATCTCTGTGTTCCTGAATAATGTGCCTGCACGTTGATTGATTGTATTTGATACATCCCAAGTTGTAGATTCTTGAGATTTCAGTCTAACAGTGCTCATGGTTTCAGATCCTCTTTCAAACAGTACAATGACAAAAAATCTCTGCTTTCCTCCAGTTATTTTTAATCATTTCCCTGGAACTGTCTGCCAAATGCTGGCTGGTGATGAATTATCGGAAACTGTGTGGGATTGCTATTTTCCTTGGGATGTGAGCCACATTCCAGCCTGAGTCTGGCTCTGCTTTTCAGGGAGCGAAGCTCACAGTTTCTCCACGAGGCACCGACAGAAAGACCATGGTTTGTGCTGCAGAACCTTTCTCAGTCCAAAGCGCAGTTGTCCTTTCTGAGGGAATCACCACTCGCTGAGTGTTTGTGTAAAATTCCTGTTTCACAGCAACTCCTTTTCATAGGCACCAGCTTCAGCCAAACTGCTCTGACTGTGTGCTTTACCGATGCTTTGGTTGCCCAGTGATGGCACCCTAGTTACTCGCGCAATTCCTGTCATCCCATTGTTTTTCCTGACCTCTGAACTGTGCAAACACTGATTCATGAGAAAACAGCTCTCCCATCAAACACGAGGCCCCCTACTCCCAAACTCTGCCAAACCCCATTCCCCCATTCCTGAACACTCCCAAACCCCATCCCCTTATTCCCCAATTTTCCTAAACCCCATTCCCCCTATTCCCGAACTCTTCCTAACCCCATCTCCTTATTCCTGAACACTCCCACATCCCATTCCTCCTATTCTCCAAACTTGCCCAACCCCATTCCCTTATTCCCCAATCTCTCCCAAACCACATCCTCCTGTTCCCGAACTCTCCCACTGAACTCCATCCCCCTGTTCCCGAAC